CCCAATCTGCCTTTTTTTTCTTCTTTCCAAATTGTTGAGGATTTGGTTTCTAATTTTTGGGATTGGTTGGCATTTAGAAAATTCAAATAGCTTCCTCCATTGGTAAATGACTCTTGCGTTGGCATGGCAACTCATCGTAACAGGCATTAAAAAGTGCATAAATACGAGGTTAATCTAGATACAGACAGTCATGGATGTGGCATAGTTAGAAAAATAGGCTGTGATGCTATTGCTGTTTTTCCACAGATCAGATAATCCACATCTTCTCATAAATACCTTTGATGGCCGTATGTGAAAGCAGCCTTGGAGAGAATCATCCTGAAATAACGCCAATTAAGAGAAACGTCACACCATAATGATTAGAATTTGTGTATTGTCCTGACAACATCCTGACACATTTTCAATTTGTGCAATGGTGGCTGATGTGGAAAACCATACGGCAAGTCAGTCGTCTCAGACAATCTGCAATATGAATACCACTTTGGCCGGGAGTGTTTCTGAGTATGAGGTTTCTTCTTTGCATTGTGCACCTCAAGTAGTTTTTTTTTTTCCCCCTGTGTAGACGCTTTTTGGGGCCCCACTGGGGTCTCCAGATGCCTTATGAAAGGAGAGACATAATGTGGACAAGCCCCCTGACAGAACAGGGCCCCTCTGAATTATCACCCCTCTCCTCCCGGCTAATTAAAATTTTGCTTGTAACTTATGTCAGCCATTTGAAGGCTGACAATTCCCTACCTCCCCCTCATTTTAATTTGTGGCACGTGTGCATAAATTGTTACAAAGGGTGGTGGCAGTGATGCCCGGCACAAATTGAATCATGTCTTTAGCTACTCTGAATGCCCTGCCTCTCCCTAGGAGGGGAAGCTCCGTTTAGAGGTCCTTCACTCACTCCGAGGACAACTTGATTGATAAATGCCAGGGAGGATTTGTCAAAGCAACTAGACTGCCCCCAGTCGCATGTCAATATGGTTCATTTAGACTCCCACCAGGCTCAGGCTACCTGTAGAGAGGACATGCTACAGAGACCAGTAGGGAAGAACTGTGCTTTGCTCTCTATATCGCAAGAAAGGAAATGGCTAACTCCTATATGGAGGGATAGAGCAGCGGGGAACAATTTCTGAGTGTGTGTGTTTGTGTGTGTGTGAGGCCGAGCATGTGAGTCTTTGAGAGAAAGAGAGCGAGAGGTGGGGGGTTGGGGGGGCACGAGAGAAGAAATGTGTGTGGGGCTGAAAGACAGCAAAAGCAGTGTGTGTGCGTGTGTGTGTGTGTGGTTGTGTGTGTGTGTGTGTGTGTGTGTGTGTGAGGCGTAAGTGCTCAAAGAGGAGGAGTGCGGGTGATACAGGGTTCAGCATATGATTGGCTCAGCTCAGCTGGAGGAGCTTTTAGTCCATCTCCCAGCAGCCTTTAGGACAGATGCACTGCCCTGAGTCATAATGTGTGTCTTGCTTCAAATGACAAATGGCACAGTGTTGCATATTGCATTATATATTAAGTAGCAGCATTCAGTAAGTTATAGGATGCTGCCGCCGCCTGCAGCACTTGTCGCTCACTAAGCAGACTGTTTTACAACAGTCAATTAGATCCAGACCGTAACTGGCTTCTAAATCCTACCCTGTTCAGATCTGTCATGTGTCTCGGAGCTGACTTTAAAATACATATACCTCTTTCAACATGTTTCTCTGCTAGAAAAACAGAATTCAGTGTGGTTAGAAGGTCGATTTTAATTGTTTCAACCTATTGCCACAGCAACTGAGTCAGAGAATTGCAAAAAAAAATCTTTAAAATTACCTATCAATGTAAAAATAAAATCACAAAGCTAATAGAATTTCATGGACTGTTTGCTCTAATTTGGAAGACATACAGGGTCCTATTTATTTTATTATTACTGAATTTCCATAATTCTTTAGAATTCTAATTTAAAGATTTTTAAAGTCCTGTTTGTTTTCCAATTTAGAGTAAAAGTCACAATGCTTAAATTATCTATTTTTTCTACTTGGGATGTAATGGTATCTAATACCACTTGGGATGAACAAAGTATTTTACTATTGTATTTAAATTCTATTCAATGCAACAAAAAAAATTTTACCATTATTTTAGCTGTGTATTTGTTACAGGTTTTAAGCAGTTAAGGTACAGCTATTGCACATGTTGGGGGGGGGGGGGGGGGGTGAAATTACCTTTGTGTGTGTGCTGGTAGTATATAAATCTAACTCTCTCAATGGGTAAAAGTGTCACTGCTGTATACTGCAGGTCTAAAAGATTAATAATAATTAATAAAAAATAATATATTAAAATAATAATAATTGTGGGCCGCAGCCGTAGCCTAATGGCTAGAGCGGGCGGCCCATATACAGAGCCTTTGCTCGCAAGCGGGCGGCCTGGGTTCGAATCCAGCCCATGGCCCTTTCCCGCAGGTCTCCCCCTCTCTATCTCTACCCCCTTTCCTGTCAACCTACTGTCATTAAAGGCCACTAGAGCCAAAAAAATCTTTAAAAAAAAATAATAAATAAATAAAATAAATAAATAAATAAAAAATAATAATAATTGCAATTGCATGACCTTCTGAAACATCAGATATATCTAACATCAGATATATCTAACATCAGATATATCTAAAAAGTTAAGCAGCAACCAGAAATATCTGTTTTCTTACTGACTGCTACAGATGTCAAATAATAATTTCCTTCATCCATTTCCTTGTCCTCACTGACCTGAACATGGTAGTGTTGTGTTCATAAAAAAAGCTTCCTTCCAAACAATTTAGTGGTGTTTTGTCATCTTAGCCATAAATTACACTGTTGCAAAGGTGGACATGCTCAGTAATCTGACAGGTCTCCTCTGGTCATATGCTCCCCAAAGTTCTTAGTAGACCTCAAAAGGCTGTGGAGACCCACTGGCAGCTGTGGTACATTCAGCAAATATATCTATTTACCTGAGAAAATAGTGAGATACTGATTGTCTTTGACATGTTCAAGCTATTCATTAAAGTAAATAAGGTATGACTAAAGTATAACATGTCAATCCCTTTACAACGAGGACAGTGTGCTGATTAAAAAACAATAGTGGAGAGAAACATTCAACCTTCAAGTTCTACCTTCAACATCCTACTGCATTCAAGGAGCGTCTTGGGGATTTATCTATGCATCGGCCAGTCGGCCTGATTCTGACCGAGCTCTTCCGTGGATGCAGAGCTGGAGCTAAACCAAAGGCAATGGGGAACAATAGGAAGTGGAGGCACAAGCCTTTTCTGCCCTAGCTGAGTATGGGAAACGCTAACTGGCAGCCAAACTAGTGTGAGGAGCTGGAGGTGCAGGGCAGAATGTAGTTCTTGAGGAAGCTGAGATCCTTCAATGTCTGCAGCCAGATGTTGCAGATGTTGTAAAAGTCTGTTGTTGAGTGTCATCAGAGACAGGGACTTAAAAAGGCTCCTTAACCTGATCCAGAAGTCTGGTTCTGTTCTGGGGACGACCGAAGAACCTCTGGGGACGATAATGACGCAAAGAAGGATTTTGTCGAAAATCCAGAACATAATGGAGAACCCTGAGCATCCTCTTCATGAGACTGTAACTGGAAAACAGACTTTCCTCAGTCAGAGGCTTCTGCAGATTGGTTGTTAAATGGACCGTTACAGATGATCTTTCCTGCCCACAGCCATCACAATCTATTATAACTCCTTGATTAAATGAGATACATCAGCATTCAATTTCCCTCTAATTGGGGCGGCATGGTGGTGTGGTGGTTAGCACCATCGCCTCACAGTAAGAGGGAACCAGGACTTTTCTGGGTGGAGTCTGCATGTTCTCCTGTGTCTGTGGGTTCTCTCCGGGTTCTCCGGCTTCCTCCCACCCTCCAAAAAACTGCATGTTAGGGTGGTTGGACACTCCAAACTGCCCTTAGGAAGGGTCTCATCCTGCACTGGAATGATCTGATCACAACATGGTTTATCTCCAGGCCACATACCGATCCTGTGTACAAAGATTTCCAGTCATCACTGGTGACCAGGCTGTACTGCTACAGGAGGAGGAAATGGACATGGACGAGGACAGGAGGGTCAGACCACAACCTGAACCAGGAAAAGGGGGTAATCCATGATGAAGGATAATGACTTGGTCCACCCACATTCATACTCGGGTCACAAAGGCAAGAACTTGGCTTTACCACCTGATGGTCTGTGAGAAGTGTCTTCTGATATCCTCAGAACCTCTGCTAACCACAAGAGAGCATACTGACCATGACTAGTACTGACTCGACGGGTTAGGTATCCCTCAGAAAACCGTCAAGAACTGCAGATTATGAACCAGCATCAGATCTGCTCTCCTCAGTGCACGAGAACCGTATGAGCCACCCAATCCTATCCAATACTAGTAAGTGTAAAGCTTGTCAACCAGGTCCTACTTTGCATCATCACAACATTCCATGACAATATAACAAAGCGGTTACTGAATAGTCCAGTTTGCTTACCATTGCTCACACATTCCTTTTTTCCTTTCATTTCCTGTATCCTGTTTTTCATTCACTCACACAGACGTATAACTTCTGTTGTATATTTCTAGACTTTAAGTAAACTTGTGCTTCTAATTAAACTTTTTTCTTTTGATCCATGATATATGCACACAAAGATAACATTTTACTCCATGTTATAAATGGAGTAAAATGTCTTTTATGAGGCCAATTGAGTCGGCTGAGTGTATTGAGAGGAGAGTTTCTAGGCAGCCTGCAAAGTCCAATTTTTTCTAAAAGGTTCTCCAAGCAATGGAATAGATGATGAATCTCTACAGGCAATGGACTGCACATCGCCATGATCAGCCTCTTCCGGAGTGGCATGGCACAGCCACCCTTTGTCTTCTGGGAGTCATTTCTGAATGTGTCATGTGTCTGAAGAAGTGGCATGGGCAATAAAAGACTCTGAATCAGAAATACACTTCAAAGCTGGTAAGCTTTGTTCCTAAAGAACATGAAATAACACATCAGCAACATACACAGAGATGCATTCCGCAAGAATGATGCGTGATAGAGTGTCAGCAAAAGCTGAGATGGCTCCTTTCCAACAGACCGGCTGTAAACGCATGATCTTTCAATTAGGCCTGAGGGTGGAGAACTGTAGTCCGCAAATCCAATCTAAGCATCCTGGCTAGAGGGGCTGAGCTGCAGTGATGGAACAGGAAACGGATGAGTTTCTTAAGGACGACCACCCAGATGAATGAGCTGGTTTTGAAAGAAATTGGTTATGAATGAAAAGGATTTCATGTTATGGTGTATTCCTGATAGGCTACTAGCTAAAGTCCTCTTGGCATGACACTGACCACGCTTCTTTATTACCTCCTGGTGCTGTCTCGCTGACATCTCTGCATCGTGAACTTGCTCCCGTGTGTTTGCCTGGTGCCTGTCATACATGAACAGTTTGGCACAAACTGTGCACCTGCTGTGACAGCGTTCGGTTACTGGGGCTGGACCCAAAGGGATGCTACAAGAACTAATCTTATATTTACTTTCTGATCATCTTTATGCCACCACCATGAATATCCTGCTAATCTGATAATAAACAAAAAAGAACGGCTCATTATTGGACTGTTGTGCTAATCAAATGCAAAAGATGACATGCCTTTTAATGTCGTTAATAAAAAATGACAGGGCTGCAACCAGGTAAAGTACACAAAATTACCCATGTGAACTATCAATCGGATCTAGCAAAGTAAATTGTATCCAGCTTATAGATTTATAAATCAAGATATATAGGATTAGATGAGGGAATTATAAGTATGTGTGATAATCATAAAATGAAATAACTACCATTATATGAGTCACTGGGTATAGAAAAAGACCGGACCACAACCCAGTGTATTTCACCTGAGGTTTGATCATTTTTTAAACTAGATAACTGATTTAGCCTTGCCTGACTCACCAGAGAGGTACCAAAAAAAAAAAAAAAACCCCACCAGGGCTGAGAAAGGTTTGACAGTTGAGAAACATTTGGCATGCCGGTCAAAAAGCACAGCCAAGATCTGATTTGAAAATTGTTCACAGTAAATTGATCCCCACATTTTCCACAACTGCCTATTCCAACGCAGTCGCTTTGTGGGCGGGGCCTATCCCAGCTGTCACTGGGCACTGGGGGGGCCCTAAACAGCCCATAACAGTTCCCAGTTCACGTACTGGCTAGATGAACTTCCCCACAAGTCTGCTCGAAAATTGAAGGCCAGAAGAGAGGAGCGGCAACAAGTGGACATCAGACCAGAGAAGATGAAAACATAACAGGCATGAGAAAAATTAGGAATGAGGTGAGTCAGACTGTGCGGGGAAATGAAAGTAATGAGGCATGACAGGTGGAAACACCAGAGAATAAAAAATGAGGGAATAAATCTTCCATGACGACTGAGGGGTTGGAGAGACAACATACAGGATGGGGGGGGAGGATTCATTCATTTACAAACTCTTGACAAGTCAGGTGCCTGAAGCTTTAAAACAAAGCAGACTCGACGATCCCCAGTGAAAAAAAACAACAACATAAATCTAGTTAACTTCGAGAAAGATTATACTCTTATCTTATTCTTAAGTTAAAAAACAGAGCAAAGTTGAGAATCAGAACCTTCCTCTTTCACAACGACCGTACACATCTGAGATGATACAGAAACATTGAAAACAATGAGATCAAAATAAAAAGACTGATTCAATTAGAATGATCGATTTCAAAGCAATGGAAGTCTGGTGTGTTGGCAGAGAAAAGAGAGGCAACATACATAATTTATTTTATCCACACGCCAAACATCTCTATTACTGAAAGTGAAGGCTGTGATTTTTTTAGAGCAAAGTTCAGAATGACCCAATGGATACTATCAGTGGAAGAAGTCACACACAGGGACGGATTAAGGGTAGTCTGGGCCCCTGGGCAAGGAATTCGCCCAGGGTCCCCCCTCCAAAAAAAAAAAAAATTGTTTACAAACCATGCTATTGTGGATTGTGAATACATTTAAGCGGTTTGTCGCTTTACGTCTTTCCGGACAATTACAGCTAATTTTAGCTAGCCTTGTCGTGGCACATTAAGAGTTCAACGAAACCTAGCAGAAATACTAGGTGTACTAAATGCAAAGAAACTTGAATTGTTGAAACTAAGCGCAACCAGAAACACTGTCAATATGTTTTAATGAAATGAACAACTTGCTAAGGTTTAGACGTGGGGTGTTAGCTAAAGTGCACCGTGTAGCATAAAATGTTGGAAGGTGGGCATGCGTTAGCTTGTCAGAGAGACAAGTTATGAAAGCTAGGAAGCTATGAAATATGACCTAAAATATAACGACACACATTACCGGACACAGTCAAAATCATATTTCTAGAGACTTTATTGCTAACCAGTGCTGCCACGGCGGGCATATGATAAAG